TAATGGCACAAATAATACTAGTAGTAAGTTATGGTTCAAATGCCAATGAAACAACAAAATTTACTTATAAATAGATGTATATTGTTATGAGTTTAAAGCTACTTAGGATAGAAAATGTAGTTTCATGTTACAATTTGAAGTTATTCTAGAAAGGAAAAGGATTATTTAGATTTTTTTTACTGGTAACTAGGTCGGTTAAATTGACCAACCTCATATAGATTTAGCATAGTGAAAATAATGATGAAATATTAAGTTTTACTGAAAATAAAATGTTTAAAATGTATTTAGAGGTTTTAGAGATTATGTAATCACATTTGAGATTTTTGAGATGAAGAAAAGTATTTTTAACCTGAACATGAAAATCAATTAGACTGGACAAAAATTCATGGACAAGACCTTAGTAAAAATACTTCATTTGAAAACTGATTTTATATGAAAATAACTTGTAATGTTTACTAAAAGACTGCAAAATTTTATGAAGGTATACATACTGTATTAAAAATGTTAATATTAAAACTATATACAAGTAAAAATGGTCACATGGTCGGTCCATGGGACCGAGCCCATATTGAGAGAGTTTATAACCAGCTCAATGCAGTGCATGTACTGTACATATATACTCTTGTCTAGTTGGCTAGGTTGCAGTTGCCAACCAGCGTAATTCAAATCACCATGTAAAGACTACTACAAAGTGCATCACAAAGTGTGGAAATACTCGAAGACAACATACAAGAGAAAGGAATGATTCATATGTTTTGCTGAGCAAAGAGGAAAATGATTTGCAAATTATGATGCAAATCCAGATATTTTGTCTCCTGATGTACATTGGTTTTTATAATTATTATTTATAAGGTTTGATTTAAGCAGTTCTGAGAATCACATAATTAGTTTTAAACCTTTAAAAAACTTAAATATAAGAAACATTCAATAATATTGCTTTTCAACAATATTTTTGAAAATGTATATCATATAACATATCTGTATTTTGAACATATGAACATTCTAAACACTCAGTGACACTTTCCTAACCTAACTTCTTTATAATTATATGCATTGTCTGATAAAAGCATCTACTTGAATCATCACAAAGACAAGAAAGTTTTCATGTAGATGTGGATATAACCTTTTTAATTTATCTGAGGGTACTTTGTAGTCAGACTGATAAGAAGAAGTAAGTGATATCAGGAATAACGATTATTAGGCTGGAGAAGAATGACCATGTACTATACTGTATTATCTTAATTAGCAACAGCAATATGATTTAATGTCTCCACATCTAACCATTGTTTCATTGAACTCATTAGGCCAATGCTGATAGCAGCCGCTATATGCTCATATTACTTGACTTATTTGAATATGATTATAACTTAAATAGCTGTTTTATTAATATGTTTGTTTTTGTATGATGTTTCATTTTATGGGTTCAGAGCTGTTGAGACTAGTTATTTTATTACTGTGTTTGTAAATAATAGACATTATATATGCATTTTTGTTGAGAATAAAAATGTTGAATGATAAAAAGTGACATCATTTATATACATTTTTATATGGAAAAGAAAATGCAGCTTTCTTTTTCAATTGTGTATTGTTTCTTTGTTTTGTTAAAAATATTTTAAACTAAACATTGAAAAATAAGGAAAGAATTAAAAATTTTCACATATTTTGACTAAAACTGAAATGTAATCATTTTAGTAGGCTTAGCTATATTTGCCAGTGTCAGATGATTTACCAAACATTCACAGTTGCATTTGTAACTCAAACCAATATAAATATCAGAAAAAGTAAAAACTCATTCATTATTAGATTATGTGTAGCAAGTAGAACAAAACTACACCCCAAGATAAAAATCAAACAAATCATTTTACAAACATTTTTTATTATTAACTGTGATTAATGGAAATGTAATATTTTAGTACTAGTCATGACTGTTGTATGATATCTGCATGTCTGTAATTTGCAAATACCACATTTCATCTTCTCACAGTGTGTGCTTACAAAATAGAGTAGTTATAAAATTTTTAAATTTTTATAAAGCTGTAATTCAGAAAATGTTAAATCTGGTTGAGGTCGTGTGCGAATTTAACCCTGTCATTTCTTCCAGAAAAGTTCAGTGAAGGAAGTTGTTTACTGTTTCATGAGATAGTTCTGTTATGTCTTATTACATTATGTATGTGGGAGTACTTTGTGACTGTCTTATAAAGTAGACATACCATATAAATTTTTATTTTGGGCTTCACAAAATAATTACTGGTAAAAATTCAGATGCATTAAGAATTTTGGACTAAAATTCTCTGTACCATGATTGCAGATTTGTGCAACTACTACTGTATTGTAAATTAAAATATCAGGACTAAAAATCAATGTTTTAGAAGAAGATTTTGCTACTTTGATAGATTAAAAATACTTTTTCATCTCAAACTTCATTTGTGTAATCTCTAAAACCTAAATACATTTCAAATTGTTATTTTCAGTAAAACTTTATATTTTATCAGTTATTTTCTCTACCGTAACTCTATACAAAGTTGGTCAATTTGACCGACCTTCTAACTACCAAAAAAAAAAAGAATCGAAATAAACCTAAATTACCCTTTTTTCTTTCTAGAATGACTTCAAATTGTAACATGAAACTACATTCGTTTATCCTAAGTAGCTTTAAACTCATAACAGTATACATCCATTTATACTTAAATTTTATTGTTTTATTGCCCTTTGATTGCCTTTTGAACCATGCCTAACTACTATTCATGCCATTATAAGTTGTAAATCACTTGGGGAACATGCAGATAAAGTTAATGTTGATACACCGTACCTGCATTTGATAACATCAGAAATGGATTTATTACAAAGCAGTCTTAAGAGTAAAAGCTTATTTATTAGTAAAATTTATATCACTCATATAATGGCAAATGAGGAATAAGATAATATTATAACCACAACCCTCATAGAAAATAATTTTACTTTTGCCAATAAATTTCTTGCAGCAAGGCAGGGCCACCAGGTGCAACAATGTTGGTCCCTGAAGAAAAAAAATAAAATGTACAATTAGAATCACAATACAAACAAAAACAAATTGGTAGAAAAAACAACAACCCTAGTTACAAAGTTAAATCATAACGATTAAGAAAAAGAAAATAGGTACAATTAAATAAAATTAAGTACAAAATAAACTAAATTTACATCTAAAACCTCTTATATCCTAAAAGCTAGCTTAATAAAATTAACCTAACATGATCACAAACTTTCAGACTGTGTCAGTCTGTCTTCAAGTGAAACCAAAAAGAAATGCTTTGATGAGAATACTATTACAAAAATGACATTTTAAAGCTTTAGTAATAATTTACAAGCCAAATTGAGAAAGTTGATCTTGGGCCTCAGTTTATAAATCAGCAAAGTCTCCTTGATGCTGAGACTTTGATCATTATTGACCATAACCAAGATCCTAAACAAATTAGTTTTGACAGGAATGTCACATTTACTCTGTGTGTGTATGAGTATATTAAACTTGATTAAAGATCTAGCATTTGTACGTTCTTTAATTCAAGTTATTAACTTTCTTTTGGTGTAACCAATATCACCTTGCTGACAGTAAAGATAAGAAAGTTTATATACAAAAAAAGAGGATTGAAGAGGTGGAATTTTGTCTTGAAGTTTGAAAAAGTAGCTAAGGCAACAGTTAGGTTTAAAAACTCACTTCTACTGCATTTGGAGTTGTATCCTGTGGAAGATGTTCTCTAGCTGACTTTTAATAATCAATGATTATCTGCCCATATAAGGCAAACTAATGACAACAATATTCTTACATACATCATGAACACAAGATGCAAGTACACTGTGCTTATTCAGATAACAAAAGTATTCTGTCAACAAAATAATTTGGAAAGTCATTTTTACATGAGAATTCCTTGATGTTTAAAAATGCTGGGTATTTCAAAGGCATAATGAAAAATATATTTGCTAAATTCTCCTTAGAAATAGTGGAAATAAAAGTCTCAAAATTAAAATACAATCCAGTAAAAGCATTTTTATGATAAACTTCACATTTAAATTGTCCATTATTGTTGTTTATCAGAGTGTCCAGAAATGGAAGTTTGTGATCCCCCTGCAGGGCAGGAAACCTTTAATGAGTCAAAGTAAAAAAAATAAAACAAAAATACTACATGGAAACAAACCCTACACTTCCTCTATAACCAAACAGAGGGTCAAAAATTTGAGAGGGAAAATAGAAAGGGAGTATGGAGTGTTTGAATACAGAACTAGTTTCAGAAAGTATTTGCAACCACAAAATCAGATAAGGGGAGAAAGAAATAATTCAAGTACTGAATTCATCTAACATCACACAAGTGCTCTCAGGTGTAAAGGAAATATGTTTAATATTGAACATTTATAACACCTGACAAAAAAGAAATGAGACCAGCAGAAGTGTCATTAGTATTAGGGCTAGAACTGTAGCAGACAAATCTGACTCTAAAGGCAATTAGGCTTAACTAAAATATTTGCCCTCATCAGAAACAAAAGAAAATGTTGAGTGTTGCACAACGTAAGTGTCAGTATGATCTACATGGCATAAGTTTTGAATCAGCAGTGTTTACATTGCAACTACAATTTTGCCCTACGTACTACAGGTAAGTTATAAGTAAGGCCTCCAGTTGTGTTATAAAGATGTCAATAGTGGCACAAAAAGTGTATCAGAAAGAAAGTTGTAGAAAAGTTAACAGCATGGTGGTCAACAAGAAAATATAACTTATGGTCGGGAAACAGAGCTTATGTAAGATCCCCTGACATTTGTACAGTAAGTTATGTTTATATTGGGAAAATGAAGAATTATGGGTAAGTGACACGTGTTCTTTTATGCGTAAAGAACATTTTTAAATTTTTTATTGCACACTTTGTTGTAAACTTGAGTTCAAACTCAACAAGGAAAGACTTTCAGTATTTCAGGGGTAATATACCTGATTTGAAACGTATATTTAACCTTGACATTTATATATTCTTATGCGAAGGTTCTGCATTTGTTGAAAGCTTCAGACAAGGATAAGAGCATGCTAATGCTCTATGTGGCAAGCAGTACACTGTCCCAGATGACATTGATGAGACGTGACCTTTCTTTTAACTGTATTCTCAGTCATATTTTTAAACCTTTTTTGAAGGTTCTACATTATCCAGGTTTGTGGAAGATACTATTTTATTCAAGTTTAGTTTAGCTTAATTTAATATTGTATTTAAGGTTTCATATATTGTAAATTTGTATTCCCAGTTGTACATTGCTTATTCGTGTCAGATATTTTACTCGTGTGATGTTAAGCTTCTATTTCACATTAATTATAATTCATTAGATGCCATACCAAAATCTATTATTGAATTAATCAACAGACAAAGTGAATAAATGTACATGTGCTATTAGCGTATACCAACTGAAATTATAAGTTGGTTATTTACTGTGAAATATAGATAAATAATAAAGTAGTATTTTAATGATGATCATAACAATTAAAGATAGTTGAGTATACAAAGGGTATATGAGGCAAGTTAATTTTGATTATCTGACTGAAAGAAAGAAATTGAAAATAGTATTTTTTCTGTTGAAACATAAAAAATGTGCAAAAGTAAAATATGAAATGAATAATTAAGCAGTGTTATGCTAAAGGAGTGAGCTACAGAAAACAATACTATTGTTTACCTTCTCAAAACTATCGGGAAGCAACTCATCAAATTTGAATTTTATCAGCTGTCTACCTAGTTTATGAGAAAATTTATGAATATAGTGGTTGTTTCTATATAAAGATACTTGTTGAACTTCACCGATAGAATATCAAGATTTATTAATATTACTATATTATTAGCTAAAGTAAAGTAGCCCAGTCCTTTTCCTATAAATGTATCTTAATTAATGAAAGCATAAAATCTAGTGATGATATTAAGTCAATTTTCAAGTGTGTATGCCTGCTACAAGGGGATGCAAAATCCCTGTTTTATACACATAACTAATTGATGCTAGGTTTTATTACATATTGATGTTAATGTGTGGTACATTAAGTGTTCACTACTACCATGTGTTATATTTCATTTCTGTATTTTTAATAGGGCTTGTTACATTGAATGTTCACACTTCACACATTCAAGTTGTATATGGTTGAGCTTAGATATTACACTCTAGGTATATTACTTTTCAGATGTATAATGCCACTTGAGGTTGTTATGCATAAGCTGCATACCTGACACTTGTGATATTAAATTCATCATTGTATTGTTATTTGACCATTTTTGGTTTTAACTGTATATTCTTATGAAAGGGGTTGTATTTTATTTTTATGATACTACATCTGTTACATTTCAATTTTATACTATTTACAAGAAGATATGTTTCAACTGCGTATTGACTTTAGAGAATGTTACATTTTATTTATATATTGATGCTAGAGGTTGTTACATGTTGTATATTTACTAGTGCATATGTTTTACATTTTAGTTGTATGTTGACTAGAGAGAATGCTATGTTTTAGTTCTGTTTAGTCACAAGGCATTACATTTATCTGTAAAAGGGTGATTGGCCTTTGGAATGGGTTGCCTTCAGATGTTGTGAAAGCAATAAATTTAAGTGAGTTTAAGAGCAAACTTGATAACTGTATGAATGATAAGGGCTGGCTTTGAGATTTTTTTTTATTATTATTTAATAGTTTTATTTTAGTTTAGAGGATGGGACAGCCTAGATGGATCAATAGGTCCTTTGTTGTCCCTAAACATTGTTATATTTTAGTTGTATTTTGACTAGGGTGGATGTTGCATGTTTTTTAGATGTATTTCTTACACTTTAAGAATGCTATCTATAAGCTGTGTCTCTAAAACTAGAGATTTTACATTTTCGGTATTCTCTACTAGAATGTTTTCAGTTTTAAAGCAAGGATTATGTTTTAGTTTAAACCACTGAAGACAATGAGATATTAATTACAGAGATATGGTTTTTTGACATATACTATTGTTGATACAATAGACAATGCCCTCCTTCAAGCAGCTGTAGCTAAACAGTAAATTCATAAAGAAAAAAGTTTTATTTCAAAAGTTGCATGACACTATACAAAGTAAATTTGTGTATATATATATATATATATATGTGTGTGTGTGTGTACAAATGAATAATAAGGTTTTAAAATAAAAATCCAAAAATTAGAATTTGATATAAGTTAAAAAATAATAGTAATTACAGGTTTAGTTGACACAAGCTGTAAATCATAAATCTATAAAAAAAATTAAGAAAATTTTAGAAAATTAAAAAAGTTAAAATCATAGGATAGAACATTACAAAAAAACTAAAATATTTATCTATCACATTGGGGTGGATAGTTCCCAGGTCAAAAATTGTTTTGTTTTCTTGTAGTTTGCAGTTATACTTGTTTATAGGGGCCTTTATCAAAGCAATTATTTAAAAATGTTTAAGGGTAGGGTTCTGTAATTTAAATTATTTATTATGTCTCTGAGATGTTTTCAAGTACATTCTGCTAATAATCTACTAGTTTCTCCTATGTTTAATTTCCACAACATGAGCATACAATAGAATATGTGACTCACTTGGATGTGCAGTTATATTGATCCTTCATGTAAAAACTCAAGATCATACACCGATGATCTTGTGTCATTATTAGCACACATTTTGCAGCATCTTCTGTTACAAGGATGGCTATCTACAGTAATATTTTTGTTTAATGAAGTGGGTGTCAGGTTTTTACATATGGATGAGCAGGATTCTTTACAATAAATACCAACAATAAAAAAAGCACATAGTCCACTTGTTTTAAAATAATATATTAAAAGAAGTCAAATGTATATGCAAATGTTTGTTACACACTTAATTACCACACTTGTATCCAGAGCTTTAAATATTTGTCTCTTTATGTCCACACAAGCTGGTTCAGTTACTTGAGAACACAATTGACAAGATAAATTATTCTCCTCTGCTCTGTTGCTAGAATACAGTCAGTGATAATTTGACATACATTATACTTTTGGTTACCACAGTTGTATCAGAGCTTTAAATAACTGTTTCTTTTTGTTAAAAGTCCACGCAGGTTTGTTCGATTACTTTACAACACAATTGACATGACAAATTATTCTTGTCTACTCTGTTGTTACAATACAATCTGCAATAGTTTCACTTTTCAAAAAGGCACCACTATATGCTCTTTACAGCTAAACTCACAAACACTAACTGTCTGTCTTACTTGAACTACATTTTGTACACGTATTTATAGACTGACAGAGGCCTATAACGTTCCAAACACTACACATTAATATGATGCAATAATACTCTATTGAAATAACAAGAAAAACTTGGATGGTTCTAGTAACATGACACAATAACACAACAAGCACTAATTCACACCAATTGAACCACACAATGTCTGAGTCGTACACAATTATGTAAACAAACCTACGATAAACTGTCACTTCTAAAAATAACTCAGTTTAACTATCTTGCTATACTTAAATGGAAACAGTCATATGTATGTGATAGTCACTGTGAACTAGGGAGTGACTAATATTGGTATCATGATGGTAGGAAACTATGGAGGGGTCTTGAAAAATCCTGATCATCGTATTCAGTACACAATGTCTGTAGCCAAATGAATTGGGATCTTGGGAGGTTATTTGTCATATATATATATATATTGATTGGCTAGAACCAAAATGTGAATAGTTGTTGGCAACTGTAGGCTTGTTGATTGTGATCTTATCAGAAGTTATGGAAAGAAGAATATCCAGAAATGGGAGTGATGAATTAAAAATATTATTTATGTAATGAGTAAAGGTTTTTAGTTTGGATAATCTGCCTGTGAATAGTTATAACATTAGTTTTAATATGGAATCATTTAATGTACTATCTTCTGATAACAGTAATTTCAAGTTGTTTTTGTTCACACAATTTTGAAGTTTATGAGTGTTTTGTCTTTTTATCACATAGAGCAGAGAAATAAGTGGAGTAGAGTTTTTTTACAGTAATATGCACTTGTGTTGCAGTAGTTATATCTGTTATTTCATACAGTCTGTGATGGTAATAATGTAAATCTTCTGAGTTTTTATTACAGTTAAGTGATAAAGATTTAAGGGTATCTTTCAAAAGATAGATTGATGTTATATAGCCATTTGGTAACAATCAGAGAGTATTTACCATCTAAAGCACTTTGTGGAGTATGGAATTTCAGTCTGAAATTATCAGTAATTACACGTTATTTTGGAATTTAACTATAAAACTTGTATGGTTAAAGTACATGGTTTTTGAAACTGGTTATGTGTTTAGAGATTTCATTATTTTGAAACAGAGTTTACTGTAGATTTTATACTGGGTATTGTGTTAGACCTAAACTAATGTCTAAATGGTTGGACATAAAGTTAGTATAAAAGTGTGTGAAATTTTACTGTTTTAAATTTTAATTGTGTTATCATATGTGTTTGACATATAAAGAAGGACTCACTTCATGATTTTTATTCCTTTAAGATTGTGATGTACATGAAAACAATTTTATTGTAATTGGCTTTTGTTTTCACATTTAGACAAGGAACAATTAAAATTAAATGACAGTGTTATTATTCCTGAAAGTGAAGTAGAAGATTGTGTGGAACAACTTCACAAAGTAAGTATGAAATTTAGTTCAGTCATCATCATTATGTAAATAATATAATGTTTTAACCGTGGCAGCTAAACTGTGTATTTCAGTCACTGCTTTCTTTCAGTCTTTCATATTTTGAAGTTCCTTGTTTAATTCTTTTATAAGAGGTTTTCTGTTCTGTGGCAAACTGAGTTGCAACTCTAACATTAATAACTTCTACATTAACCATTTCAATATTTTAAACTGTTTTCTGTGTTGCTGTGATTTCTGGTTTTGTTTCATTTCAAGTTTTAAAGAACTTTAGTGGAATATTTTATTAACATAAATATTTTATACTGTTTGTATGAGGATAATATAAGACTAAAGAATTTCATTATGAATATAATTGGAGTCAGTGTAGAATTATAAATCTGTTGTTTAACTCTGAATTCACATCAAGTATGATCATAAAAAACAATTAAAGGAAATATTTGTATTAATTTGACTAAACTTTGTTTTGCAGTTGTATGTTTGTGGTCCTGTTGTAGGTGAGGTCCTCAAGAAAGAACTGATGCATGTTTTTTTGCCACTTTTTCAACTAATGTGTTCATCACAAAATGGTATATCACACATAAGGTAAGATTAGCAGTGGTATTTACTTATTGTTATATCTTGAAATATTGTAATATTACTGAGTCTATTTTGTAAAAGTTTCAGTGAAATGATTTGATGGCTTGTGATAAAATTAAATATGATAAAAAAGAGAAATTGCACAATAGCTGGTCAGAGCTGTAGTGATTGTAATACTTTTGTTAAGTCACTGCATTAACTTGTTGTTGAATCAATGGTTTAGTGCTATACTTATTTGCCTTATCTCAACATTGATTTGATGGTGTCATATGTTAATGCATTCTTGTGTTTGAACATCACATCAACAGGCCTCAGAATGCACATACTAGGACATATATGTCATGTGGTTTCATGTGTACACTCCAAAGAAGGACATAGCTGTTAATGAGAGTTTGGTGAATAGTTGAGGATAGCTGGCATTTATACAAAACAATCCTTTTAAATGAGTAAGACTTAGAGTAAAATTTTACAAGTTTTACACATCATCCATTGGATATTGCTACCAGTTTTAAATCTTCACTGGTCAAAAAGTTGGTGATCCAGACTTTCTGTCTCATGAATCAATAGTTTTTGACTTGGTGAATCCCTAACTTGATCAAGGATATAGTCTGTTTGTGAATAACTGGTACAAATCACCATCCCATTTCTTGAGAATGCTCAATGAAACAAGAAATGCACTTGGAACAGTTGGACTAAATAGGAAGAATGTGCTTGATGATTTTATAAAACAATATTTAAAGGTAGGTGAATATGCTATATATCATAGGCATAACGTAATGATAGTAAAATGGGTTGATAAGAAACCTGTGCTATCCATAATGGCAATGCTGCAGACATGACTGATACAGGATATGTCAACTGGAAGACTGAAAAGCCTGTTTTAAAACCAAAGGTCTTCCTGGACTGGAACAAAGGCATGGATGGAATTGATGTAATGGAGCAACAGCTCTCATCACCCATTCATGTGTCATTATGGTAAAGTATACAAGAAACTTATATTTTACCTCTTGGATATGACATTGTATAATTCATATGTTTTGTACAAGAAAATGACTTTGTAAGAAGTTCCATTACAATGGTTTCTATGAAACTGTAAGTGAGCAAATGTTGGAAATTATACATGTATCAGTATACAGCAGGCAGGGAAGACCATCAGGTGAAACACCTATGAGGCTACAGGCATCCTCTTCGAGACACTTTCCAGGGAATATCCCACCTAACTCTGTTAAAATAAACACCCCCTCAAGGTAGTGCAAGGTGTGTGCAGCAAAATGAATCAGAAGTACCAGCCTATGGGAATGTGAAAAGTGTGGTCACATTACATATGTTTAAATGTTTCAAGATCTCTCGTATCAATTCAAATTTCTATCATTTGTTGACAAACCTATTTTAAAAGTTGTTCCTAGTCAATTTGAGTGCATTTCAACCATTATTTTGCATTATGTATTATAAGCTGTTCATTATTTGCAAAAAATAGTATGGCATTGGGTTAACAATTTAACATTGATTTATCCTCAAAAGAACTTGTACAAAAAGAAATTATACATTTTTTTGCACATGATTGTTCCTGCATGGTACAAATTTTCTGATCAAAGAAACAATAATATTACTATCATATTGATGAAATACACATTCAAAACACAGTTATCTCAAAGTCAGAACAGATAGGATGATTTAGAGGAAATAGGGTTGGGGACAACATGATGTATTGTGTATTGAAGTTTTAATACTTTTTTTACTTCTATACAGTAACAAATAGACCTAGGTTACAAAATTTTATGATGTTAAAGCATCAAATATTGTCAGAGTAAGATTAATGTATTCTCAATTTTAAATATCCTGTTTTAACATTTCATAGCCAGCACAAGATGGAGTTATACTTATATAAGAATAGGACTGAAAGAAACAAAAGGAAAGTAGTTGTTATAAGAGGACAACTTAACACACCTTTTCTTGAAATCTTAGTCTGTTTAACTTTTAATTATTAAAACATTTTACCTCAAATACTTTAACCTGTAATTGTAAATTTGTAGATCAAAAATCGAGGATCTCGTGCTCAATGTTTTCAAATGGAATGAATCATCTGTGACTGTAAGACTACTTCATACTTGTGTTTTTGAATCAGAAGCTCTCTTCATGGATAAGAAGATAAGGTTTGTGAATGCACCAGGAGGAGGAATGATGGTTGTTTATGACGAAGAAGAGTATGTCAGTAATCAAAAAATGTAAGATACTTTCTACTAATTTAGTAAGTTATAGAAATCCATTTTATTAGTGAAATAATTTGTAATAGATAGTGATAAATGTTGTTCATCTTCACTGTTCATTTTTGGTTTATATAGAATTTTGATCTTTATCCCCTTATACTGCCCAAGAACAAAGTCTTTGTGTGTGTTGTGTGTGTGTGTGTTTAGCATACTACAGATATTAAATAAAAGTTTGGAGATGGCTTGAATGGGTAATGAAGATAACTTTATCATAAATCTGCAACATTTTGACAAGATTATGTCATCATCAGGTACAAGTAATTTATATACAGAGACACATGAATATATATATATATATATATATATATATATATACAGTATGGAATAGAGAGATCAAATAACCAGCGATTACGTAACCCTTTCACCACAAGCATCCTTTTGTGCACATGTTACGGGGTTTAGTGAGTTACATTCAAATTTTAATTAAAACACATTCTTATTGTGGTAGACCAATAAATATAGCATAAAATGTAGCCAATTATCTATATTTTAATATTTTTTAAGTTTTAAATTCATAATTTTATAAGGCAATATTTTAAATAATCCTTTCCCCTAGTATAGAAATTGGGATATTTTCTCTCTAGATATCTACCACCTCTTCAAGAAGTATGAAATTTAACATAAATTACTCACTATAATGTTTTCACTGCTAAAGAGAAGCATAATTTTTATAATCTTTAATCTTATTTGGTTACAGAGCCATCAAATAGAAAATCAGACCCCTTTTGCCATGTCCACCTATCACATCCTCTTTTCAGAAACTGCCAATAGCTCTCTCTGATGTTCAATACTATGTTATTTATAACCAATAGGAAGCCAAGATTTTACTCTATCAAATGATGTATTATATTACATTATTTTCTGATCAATTTTGCTTCCAGTTCGAGCTTGAAACATCAACAAGCTTAGCTGAATTTCTAATGGCTCTTGTTGCATAGTTAGAGAGACAGAAAAATTGTGATAGTTAGGGGACATATTTTGCTTTTTGCATGTTATTATTCTGTATTTTTGGACCATTATTTAATTAAATAAAACATTATTTAGTGCAGTAGTACCATTAGTATAAAAAAATAGGGTTAAGTGTCATCAACACTCGACAGCAAAAAAAACAACAATGAAAACCTAGGTAAGTAATTTATTTCTTGTTTTTCATGTGTATTCTTTACTTATTATTATAAAAGTAACTAAAATGTAGAAATAGGAAACTTTTTTAGGTTAGTTAAGGTTAGATTAGGTAAAATAAATAATAAACATTTTTCACGAGTAGCTCGTGCATAATGTAATTTCATACCATAACATGAGCTGCATATTTAAAATTTATAATGGCATGAATAGTAGTTAGACATGATTCAAAGGGCAATAAAACAATAAAATTTAAGTATAGTGTTATGAGTTACGAGTTTAAAGCTATTTAGGATAAACAAATGTTGTTTAATGTTACAGTTTATAGTTATTCTAGAAAGAAAAAAGGGTAATTTAGATTTGGGGGGCAGTTATGAAGTTGGTCAAATAGACCAACTTTGTATAAAGTTACAGTAGAGAAAATAACAGATAAGATAAAAAGTTTTACTGAAAAAAAAAGTTTAAAAAGTTTAGTTATTAAGGATGTTTTTGAGATTAGGCAACTAAAATTTACAATTTTTGAGACAAAGAAAAATATTTTTAATCTTAATGTGGAAATCACTTTGCACTTGGGCTAGTAACAAAAAAAAGACTATATATATTCATGGACAAATCTTTAGTAAAAATACTTCATTAAAAAGTCTGATCTTTTGTGTACAAAAGACTGGTAATGTGTACTAAGAGTCTCCCAAATTTTGTGAAGATACAAATGCTGTACCAAAAGTTATAGTATGGAAACTATAACAAGTACAAAATGATTGTGAGATCAGTTGAATCAACTGACTTTGTTGAGAGAGAGTTAATAGCTTATTAAAGGTATGTTGGTACCCCAGGATGTTGGTTTAGGTTAGGGCTGTTTTGTTCAATTAAGATAGCTTCCTCTATTTTGCTTTTATTGATGTTTAGTTCTTTGTTTAAAATTACAGTGTTTTGTATAGATATACTGTAGTTTTTTTGAGTTACAATGGTGGTAAAATTGGGAGGGTTTTGTATTATGTACGGTGAATCTGGTTTTCAATTTTCTTCCAGTTTCTCTGATGTAGAAGTTATTGCACTTTATTTTATAGATGATGTTGGTATTGAATATTGTTAAGTTTATCAAAATTAAGCAGTGCACATAAAAGGAATAATTTATTTTTATGGAAAATAAGTTATATTTCTTAGATATAACTTAACCTAGATCAAGAATATTATTGGCAAAAATGTTGTTACCCAGCCTGCTAAAAAGGTTAATGGTTATATCATTTTGAAAAGTCAAGTTCTAGGTCATTGATACATTTTTGTCAGTTTCGCTGTATTTGTTATGATTTTATCTTGATTTTGGGACTACTACAGTTGGAAAAATATGTATAAAAAATTTTTAATGAATATCAGTCAAGTTGAAACTGATTGATTATATATATACTGGAATTTCCTGATCTGTAATGAAAAAGTTTCAATCCTGAGATGAAGTATTTTAATGTTGTTGTTTTTTTCAAAACAGCCTAACAACACAACCTAAAGAATAGTAGAAAATCTAAGTCAGTTTGATTTAAGTTTTATACATTTTGGTCAAATAATTCCACTGTGAGAAGGGGAAAGCAAAAGATATCAGAGACACCCTTTTGACCTAGAAAGGTTAATGATTCAAAAGTTACCTGCTGAGTAATTAAAGGTTTTATTTCTGTTATTATTTATCATTTGAAGTATTTTTTTACAGCTACAGTTACTGTTAATGAATATGATATAAATGCTACCTTGGCCCTTACCTAATTATATTTTAGTATTCTGATAAATGCCAATAAAACTTTTTACCTGCATTCTGACTTGTGCATGTTGCATCATTTCAGCAAAGATGATTTTGACATTAGTTAGTCTATATAGCAGAAAAAAAATTAAATGCTTGTCAAATCGCCTCTTTAGTATGAATTTTCAAATCCATGTTATTTTTATGACCCAAGGCTCTGTTGTTCCCCTTCAAGAATGCTCTTCACCTGTAATAATGGCAACTAGAGGCACATAATCTATTGTAGACAAGGTGGTTAATTCTTCTTCAGTTCTGGCCCCTCATTGTTCTGTTTTATTGCCTTCTGTAGAGCTTGCCTCGTCTGTGGATGATTTTGACCAGTTTTTTTCTCCTCTAACCTTTTCTTCTGGTTTTTCTTTTGCTATTGAACAGCTGCCTCTTCTGTCTTTTTGTTTACTATGCTTATTACTCAAGTATGTGACATTCTGTCTATTTCACCTGTAAATCCTGAAAACTCTTGGAACTTCATGAACTTCCATCAGATAACTTTCTCCCCCCCCCCCCCAAGATTTGTGCCTAAGCTAATGCCCCTCTGTCCCAACTTCTTGTTGATTGATGTCTTCCCTATCCTCCTCATCTTTGTGACTCTTTTTTTATATAGCCTGTGGACCTGACCCTTTTATTTTTCTTGAACCTCAGTCTCTTCTATCTGCTTGGGGTGCTCCTCTTTCTACTTCTTTGTCTGTTTCTTTCCAAAAGTATACTTGTCTTCATCTTACCTTTACCCAGCTTCTTCATTTCATCTTTACCCTTCACCAATGGTCTAATCATTACATAGATTGATTTACTGGGGACACCTTTTGTTATTTGTTTGCCACTTTGGCTTCTATTTCTTCCTCTACTGTCTATCTCTTTTGACATAGTTTATTTGTTTTTGAGATCTCCTCTGTTGGGATGGTTTCCTTTCAGATGTCCTCCTCCCTTTATCTTACCTCCATGATCTTTGTATTGTCACTTTTCTTTCGAGACATTCGTAACCTCTTGCTCCCAGGATGCCTCAATCTTCTACTCATCCTTGTAAGTTACATTGGGCTAAACCCTTTCCTCCTCCTAGTCCAATTGCTACTGTTCTATGTTCATCCTCTCACAGAGCTGATTGCCACAGCTGTCAGCAATGGCTTGTTTGGAGCTGATCCTGTGATACCAGTTCCCGGGCAGTTTGGCATTGGATCAGTGCAGGACCAGCCAACATTAGTCTTCACACATGTGGTTGGTAGGGGCCCTCCTCCTACTGCAGACTAGATGAAAAATTCCAGCAGCAACCTGGTTTTGGACTGGAGTTGACCCATCACTTTTGCATTCCCCCTTCCTACCATTGCCAGGTGGCCTGATGTTGGTATGCACTAAGTCTGCATAGATTGCTGGAATAGAAGTTACTTTTCCCTTTTGCTTCCTGGTCTTCAGTTGTAGACGGTTGGGACCCTCTTCCTACTGTGGACCAGAAGACACATACTCAATGCTGCCTGGTTTTGGACTGGAGTTGATTTATCAAGTATGGTCTGATGCACCCTAGCCATTCTGCACTGGTACATCCATTTCCAAAATTGGACTTGCATCCTTTCCTCCCAGCATGGTGACACGTACCTTCACTGCAGGTGAAGAGTATACCCTGGTACAGATGAGGTGTGATCTGTCATGGGTGAACCTATATTTTAGGGTATCATACTTCATAGGTTCTATTCAAGTGTTTTCAAAAGGGAGCTCATATATGTATATTTTGCATCAGTCCCTCCACCACTTCAGTGTGGGATTCTAGTTATTATATGAGTGGAAGTAAGGTATAATATTTGAAATTAACATTTTCCAACACTAAAAAATGTATTTCTAACAGATACCTCCTCTCACACTTCCCATCCCACCCAGCTTTCCCCTCTTCCAGTGATCCTTTTCTTGCCTAATCTCTAAGTGATGAGTGTGACCTACAAAATAGGGAGAGTCAGCTACACTAGGAGGGCATGTCACACTCCTGTTGATGGAGGGTTGTTGCATGCTACAATGCAGCTATACCACATGTAATTATGTGAAGTTAGGTGGGAGCTTCAAGGGTAGTGGCGAATGAAAATTGCATGTATAGAGGGCAGCACAAATCAAGGAAAGCTATTACGTGAAAAGAGGTATCTATCAGAAATACATTATCAGTGTTGGAATTTGTTAACAATCTTGTGTTAAATTAGAAATTACAGTTCACACTGATAAAAAAAAAATTACTGTGTTGATTTTTTTTCTGCTTAGGGTCATGTATTGTTGTGTATACAGTTTAGATATTTTATAACTTAGAAATGATAACAAAGATTGCATATAAGAAAATTTTAAGTTTATACTAATTTTTCCCCAGAAAAGTTAAATTCTTGTTCAGTCTTTAATATTATTAATGTTTAGATTTACGAATCAACTGAAAATTATGCTGGTGATACATGTACTTGGTCAGTTTTAGAATATTTTCTATGAAAACAGGGGTAGAAAAGTTTAAGAATCCAATTATTTTAAGGTTCTGATTAAGTTTTGGAAATTAAAAAACAAACCTAACCACAAAAAATTTCTTATTTTGTCTATGATTAGAAACTTAAAAAAAAATGATTTTGAGTTATCTGAACAATTCCTGAACAAATAAGGATATTTTTGTATCAAATAGTGGTTGTCTTATTGCTTTTTGACAATTGTTATGTTCTTCAGTAAATAATAAATACATATTTAACAGTGATTTGGATAACTGGTTGACCAGTGATCAAAATAAAGTTCAATGCATTCTGAGAATACTCGAAAAATTGAATGACAAGACTCTTGAAGTTCAGTTCTTTCTAAGTTTACTTCAGGTTGGTATACCATTCATATTTAATGTTGATAGAATTTATACTTATGTCAAAATGCATTTTTTTACTAAAGTTATATTTATTTCATAATGTTTGGTGAAAGGTGCATTTCATCTAATATCTGTGACTAAAGAATAACAGTTGTTTAGGTACACTTGTTAATTTAAATGTATTAAACAATAAAAAACACTTGTGGAATAATATACCACATTGTTATTTAATATTATATGTTTAACTCATGAATTTTAAAGTGAATTTCTCTTTCTATGTATATTGTTTCATGCATTAAATTTTGAATGATACACTTGATTTTGTTTTGTGTTTGCTAACAGCTTCAGTGTTTCTTTAATAGATTTTTAATTATTTCATGATATGTTTGTGATATTCTTTGGGTAGGTTTTGTAAATTTACTTCTAAATTTATTGTAAGTATTGTATTTTTATTACCTACAACTTTGATGCATATGTGAAAAATGAATTGTAGAATTTCTAATGTGTAGTTCTTAGGTGAACTATTTTAGATTGTTTCTTAAAGCTTTTCATGGTTGTTTTGTTACCAGGATTATTTCTTCATTTTTTTTATCAAACTTCTACATTTTCTTTCATCCTTAACTGATTTTTAAACTTATTCTGTGATTGTAGTATAATATATTTTGATGATTTTATATTAAAACAATTAGAAATTGACGATTATCATACTTTTAGTTATAGCTATCATTTTATTCTTTTTGTTGTTGACAAGCTCAGTTTCTTATTGTACTTTGATATATTTTGGTATTTATTTTGTTTGTTCATTTCATATTTAAAGGAATTCTTATTTGAAATGTTATTGTATTCAAGAAATAATGCTTGAATGCATTCCAAGTGTCATGGTTATTAAACGTTTGACTGCATTGCCTATCCTTATGTTTTTGAATTAATAATAAGATGGAATAAATTATTTTAATTTGAGTATAAAAGTTAAAAAATGTACATAATAGTTTTGTATGAGTTGTGTAAAAATGTCAGACTTTATGTAAAAAGTTGTATCACTTATGTAAAAAAAATGATCTGAACTTTGTACCATAATTTAAATCATTCAGAGTCTGGAAAGTATACATATATATAGTTTAATCATAACTTGTTAATTACTGAAAGAATCTGGAATTAATTGAAAAATTAGTAAAATTTGTTTACTTTATAAACAATTTAAACTGCTTAATGAAATGAAATCATAGATAATATCTTTGGTTTTTATGACAACTCCTACTTGTTATTGTGAATATTTCAATTGTTCTTATTACTATTGATAATAGTTTCTGATTTTCACAGAAACTGACTGAACTTGTTGAACATAAACCACAAAAAAAAGCTAATGTGGAGAAAAAAGATAATATCTTTAAGGTTTTGTTAGAAACTGAAGAACAGAATATAGTAGACACACAAAGGTTTCGTAACAGCCTTATTCTACTACAACTTCTTCAGGGACTAATAGAAACTGTTGGTGATCATCTTATGGAAAATCGAAGTCAAGTTATAGAATTTGTAAAGGTTTGTAACAGGATTTCCTATTCTGCTGGTATGTTCTGATATTTTGATTTTATCCATCAGAAATTCTAAATTTTAGGATGAACTTTTATAGAGATAATTGTACCCTATTACAAAAAAATCAGAGATCTTGGTGTAAATTTGAAGATACCAGTAGTAGATCTCCTATTTTTCAGTTTTCTTTAAAATAACCTTATGTGTGCATAATCCTCTGTAGAAGAAAATATAATCATTGGACAACAAGTACGTTATGTTTTCTAAAGGATGTTTTAATAATTAGAAGAAATTCTAAGATTTCACTGTAGTTATATGTGTTGACTACCTGGATTGTTATTAATACTGTAAATTTATGTTATTATGGCATTAAGTTCCTGAAGAATGGGTTATCAATTCAATTAGCATAAAAATGAATGTAAAACATTATCGAAAAAAATAATCATGTTAAAAGAAGGAAAAAATATATTGAAGTATTTAATAAACCGAATAAAATTAACAAAAATAACAAGTAAAACATCTTTTGAGATGAAAATCTACTTCAAGGAGAAAGAAAGTAATACTGTGTCTAAGCATGTACCTTGTAAACATATAATAAAAACATGAAGAAACATACTCATCAAGATAATTAGCAACTGTTGGTTAGAGTATCAAGAAGAGACAGATAACCATGTGTGTTTGTAATTCTGAAGTATTAAAGATTTTGAACTGATTGTTTGTATATAAACTGTTAAAACCATATTGTAGCACAACAGTAGCATAGTATTGTAAAATGTAGTTTATGTATTTATTGGTGGTGGTGGGGTAATACTTTTTCAAAGCACTGTATACTGGTTAAATTGCTTTTATTAATTTCTTTGCCCTTAAGAAAGACTTTTATACTAAAAGCTAGGTTTCTGTTTGCATTTTTTTTCTCCTTTTATTTTAGCTTTGTTATCTTTCTCCAGATTCAAATCTGTATATTTCTAAAATTACTTTGCATAATAGTGCATATGTTTTATATTAATGTTCTGTCTTGGTGCATACTTAATTTGCAGATACTTTTTGGATATTTCTGCTTTATTTGCATAATTAAATTTACTGTTTTTATTCTTTTGTTTGTGTATCCTTTGTTGTTATTAGTCATTCTATTGCAAATTTATAAATATTTTTATTTAAGATTTCAGCTTATTATCTAATTTTTATATCTTGTGAAAAATAAATAACTATGTACTTCTTTAGTGTTACTTTTTAAACTTAAGTTTGTAGTATGGTAGACAATTTTTTTCATGTGAGGTATATATATATAACTATCACTTACTGTATATGATTTTTGCACACAATTTTAATAAACTTTTGCTACAGTGTAGTTTACATTCCTATCAAAAGAAATACTATAAGTAATTTTAACCTACTTAAGTTAATCAAATAATTTTGTTTATGGACTTTAGGCTATCTTAGAACACAGTGCTCAGTTTCATCCAATGGAAAGAAAAGAAGATCAAGAGCTGGAAACAGAAAGTGTTGCAATGGCACTGGGAGCTCTAGCGATGTTAGTAGACCAACCAGAACAGGTAACTTTGTGTATCTATAATTTTACATATTAGAATAGGGTAATGTGATCATTGTTACTTCTTCTTATCGTTTATTAATAATAGTAACCCTATGGCATGGAGATCAAAGTGACATGTCATGACCTTTCTACAGAATTAAATTAAAAATTTGATTAAACAAATGTATTATCAATGCATGTCAATGAACTTGGCATCAAAACATAGTTTATAATTCAAATTTAAATATTATAGAAGTTTTTATTTTCTTTATATCAAAAGGAGATATTTAAATAAGTTCATAATCTTTACTTTTCTATATCACATGACACTTCTTTGCTCAGAATTGCCCATTTTAGATTCTCATTCTACCTTTATATGATCTGCTGAGTTTTGCACAAATTACAAATAGATATTGTTAAGCCATAATGTAACTCTATAGCCTTCAATCTTCTTGCTTTACTGAGACAGAAACAGTAAAGTCAAACCCACATGCCACACTCCTTGTATCATTGTCCTCTCTTTCAAAAAATGTCAGTAATTACCTTGACATTTGCTATTGGATTATTTATCAATAGAAAGAGAAGGTATTAATTTACTGAATTCTCTATGAATCTAGTTGTTCTGACAACAGGTATTGAATTGGTTGGATACAGTTTCATTCTTTGCCATCATGTAGACCAGCTAAGGGAACTTTTTTAAATTCATTTAAAGCTTAGTTAGAAAGCCAGTTACATTATAGTAGTTTTAGAACATTCTATTTTTTGTGACAATGTTTTTTTTATAAATAACATATTTGAAATAAAACATTTTGTAAACAACCAACATTATCACAAAAAAGTAGGGTTACAGTGCCTTACCTCTTTCATGCTAAAACTCCTTAGTCAACACATAAGTACTAAATTTTTTAGCTTTTATGTATAATTTTTTAGTTACTGTTGTAAAAGTAACTGAAATATAAAAATTAGTAACTTGTTAAGTTAGATAAGAAAACTTAAATGAGAAAAGATTAAATAAAAAAAAATTTTCTACAAGTAATGTTCATGAGCCATCACCCGTGATGTGATTTATTGCTTTTTTACACAAGTTAGACAGTTCTAAGGCAATAAAACAGTAAATAGGATAAATAATTGTAAATGTCTATTACAATCTGCAGTCATTATAGAAAAAAAAAGATGTACTTTTGATTTTATTTCATATTTTTCAACTTTCACTAAAGTTAGTGTTAGGGAAGAGTAAATAAGAGTTAAAGTATAAACATTTACCACAAAAACAACAACTTGATATTCATTTAGGAGGTTCTAGAAGTTATGTAAATTGAATATTAAAATTGTAGATAAAAAATATTTTTATTTATTCTTAACATGAAAATCACCTTGCACTTGGACTAGTCAGACTGACCCAGTAAATTCACAGACAAATCTTTATTAAAAATTTAGAATTTTTTGTGTACAATCTACCTGTAATATTCAGTAAAAGCTTAATAAATTTCGTGAAGATACATTTAGTAAACTTGGAATTGTAGTAAACATTGCTCTGTATAGCTCTACAGAGACAGGGTGTAGTAATATGCACCAATGCTATATACATTGCATTAAAACAAGTAAAAGAAAAGAGAGAACAGTGGTTCTTTTATAAATTACAATCTTTTGGATTCACATTGTTTAGCAATTCAACAAAGAAATCCAGCTTCACAGGATTTCTTCAGGCCTTGGAGATCCTCTAAAGTCACAGAATTTTGTAAAAAAGTTATGGAATGTGAAAAGGAGGGGATTTGTTTCTCAAATTAGTTGTAATTCTCAATACATGCTCATCTTAAATATTTATTTTCAAGCCTTTTAGTTTTCATATTAAAAGATTTTTATGGGGGCTTAGTGATTTTTTTAAAAGCACATATTACAGTAATTTGGTTATGTTGATCACTTGCAGTTTGTGTGCTAGGCATACTTGGCTTAAACAGTGCAATGGACAAATAAGAGATCATTATTGATGTAGCATTCACTTTTTCACCTTGTATGCTTTCATCTGCTTACAAATGTAATGAGTCTTAGCAAACATTTTGTAAATAACAACTTAGAAAACAAATACTTAGTAAATTAAACATGCTTTTTGGATATATTTTGAATTTTTAAAATGTGTTGAACATCAGTTAGGTTTGGCTTTTATGTAAAAATCTGAGTGTTACCAAAGGTAGCTGAAATTCTTCCAAGAGTTAAAATTCTCTTATGACAAGTAATGTATGGCTAATCTTAGATATTTATAGAAAGTGGATTGAGCATTCAAGATCATCAGTTAAAGAAGCTTGGTATTGTTTATATCTAAAATCAATAGATATTTCTTGTTTCAATTTTATTACGTGAAAGGACTTTGAAACATACATATCAGAAGGTCAAGTAAACTACATTCTCATCTAGATGTACATGTACATGACTACTCCTTTAAGCTTCAAGCTATACTTCACCAAATTTTGACATTGTTCATAGTTTGTGCTTCACATGACTTAAAACTGAGAGATTTCATTATTGCCTTCAATGTTTCTTTTTAAATAAAAGAATAAAAACTAAGATAATATAAAACTTTGAACTATAACGTACTTGATAATAATAATTTCATTATTATAAAGTGATAGTAAAGTGGTTTAATTAAATCTTAAATATAACTCGGTAACACTTTATGACACGTGTAGAAAGAAGTTTACAGAATGTGCTAGGGTTCATAGGGTTAATCTGTTGAATGACATACAATGCTATGTTGTTTTCAGTACAGAGTATTGTCAATGTTCTCTTCATTTTCAAAGTTTGTCTTGCAGTTTTCAGATTGAGTAGCTAAGAGAATTATATGAAACCCCTCATGTTTTAGTTAAAAAGCCAGTTAAATTATAATAGTAACAGGACATTGTTTATTTTGTGTATGTTTATGTTGTGTATACTTTGGTATACTAGTACCATCATTATTTAAAAAAAAAGGTAGGCTTAAATTTCATCAGCAACCAACAGCAAAAAACGAGATCAAATGTAAGTAATGTATTTCTTGTTTTTCGTATATATATGCTTATTTATTACTATAGAAGTAATTAAAATGTAAAACTTAGGAAGTTGTTAGGTTAGATAATGAAAAAAAATAATAATAAAGAAATATTTGTGAAACATACAATTGCCATTGTTTTGTCCCTCAATTCCATAATAATAAAGATTCTACTTGAGGTAACATAAGTGATTTATAATTTGTATGGTGGGATCATTAGTTACAGTTTAAAGGGCAATGAAAGCATGAAATTAAATAGAAACAAATTTAGACTATTACAAGCTTTAAACTAGTTTTAATAAACAACTGTAGTTTTCTGTTACAATCTGTGGGCATTCTAGAAATAAAAAAAGGTAATTTAGATTTATTTCACACTTTGTCATGGTGGTTACAATATCATTTAAATCAACCGAAGTCATATACAGTTAGGGTAGAGAAAAAACATTTGATATTTATTTAGGAGATTTTAGAGGTTAGGCAATTAAATTTGGAACTTTCAGGTGAAAAAAGTATTTTTAACCTTAATATGAAAATCACTTAGCACACGGAGCCATCAACACTCTGACTCCATTTTTTCACAGACAAGTCTTTAGTAAAAATATGTAATGAAAAGTCTGATTTTTTAATATACGAAAGGCTTGTAATGTTTACTGAAGGCTTGTTAAATTTTGTGAATATATATAAAATATATTAAAAGTTAGAGTAACTCAGATGGTTACTTTGTTGTTACAAGGTTAGTCATGTTGACTTACTCACATGGAAAGGATTAAAGGTTATTTTGTCAAAACATTCACTTACCATTATTTGTGTCTTAAGACATTAGAATTACCATGTGGATGAATGTTTGCACATATTCTAACATTTAGGTAAGCATGATTTTAAATCTGTTAAAAATTAACATTTTGGTGATACTGATGTTTCCTTCATGATGTAGAGATTTTATCTAAAACCCAGGGTATATTTTTTGTGGTATAAATTACCATATCACTGACTGCAACTATCTAATACAACAGGATAAAAAGAAATAAAACTTTTTCCCTAATGAATTTACATATTTTAGAAAAACAAAGGAGGTTCACTGGAAAGAAAAGATTACTATCAAGAAAAACATTCAATCTGAAGCATGAGTCTGATAAATAGACATGTGTAACATTTTCTTTTGTTACTTATATGTTACTCATGTACATCTGAAACCTTAAAATTTCTCTGAAATTGTTTGTTTCTAGAAGTATGTATCTTAACAGGGAGAAGTTATTTTTAGTTTTGAAAGTCAGAGGATACTTTTAAGTCTGGAATTTTGAGCATGACTACATCATTATATAACAATTGTAATACATCTGTTTTATATCAAGCCTCTTCCTTGTCAATTTTCTGTCCCATGTAGCTTCAGGAATAAAAAAAAGATGTATTAGTCATAATAATCCCAACTTTTTAATTATTTTTTTGTATCTTTACACGTTATTCTTACTTTGAAACTAAAAATACCATTGGATAACGTCACATGCTTTGTATTACAATAATAGGCTATTATATGTATTGCAATACATACTGTGAAAAAAGTGAAATTCAGGAAAAAATAATTCTTAATAATATTTAATATGCAAAATAACATCCATATATGACATATATCAAGTTTGTAAATCTTTTTAAACAACAGAATAAAGAATTATGCCCTTGGTAAGAAATGATTAAATAAGAGTTGTGAGACATTGGGATGAACAATGGATGCTCTGTTTAACAGCTTGTGATATTGATAGCTAAGAAAGAAGAATTGGTTTCCTATCACTCAATTGTATTACAATTATGTAGGTCAATTTTCACTTTCCACACACATTTAACAGTGATTTTACTTGTAGCATAACAACATGGTGCTATTTGATGTATTATGACATATTTATGGTTTTTAAATGAAATTCTAAAACAAACTTTGTATTGTCTAGTTTAATTAAAGAATCTGAAAGATATCCAGGCATCTGATTACAATAGATGATTTTGCAACTCCTATTGATTCTCAGTCATTGTGCAGAGCCAAAAGTTGGGTGGTTGTTTGTTGTTGTTTACTTGCATTTACAAATTGTGTTATTTATGCATTAAAAATTTCAATTTATATATTGTATGATTTTCTATCTCTTTATAATGTATTTTAGAATTCTGGTTTTGCTTATTCTACAAAATAAAAAAATTATTATAAAAATACTAGTTTTTGTCTTTATTGTTACAAGTGACCGTACACTTGATAATGATTCATTGTTGTATCTAATCTGGCATAATCAGTTTGTTCCATATTCTACAAAGAGGCATCCTTCCGCAAATATAAATATGTACTTTTTTTTCCAAAATTTGATGTTATAAGAAAGGAAATGAATATTATGGTAATTGCTATTTCATTGTATTTCAAGTTTGCATATTAGTTTGTAATGGATGCTTTATAGGTAAATCACAGTTATTGAAAGCCTGTAAATCCCTTATATATATATATATATACATATGTTTTGTGTATAAATTTTATTTATAGCTGAAGAAAGAAGACTGGGACACACTCAAGAAATGTCAACACAGTTTACAGAAAATAGCAGAGCATCATCCAACTGAGCATGTCCAAAAGTTAACTGAGGAACTGAATATAACTATTGGAACTCATGGAGCAGCAGGGTTGCCCACCTATGAGAAGAAAAACCAGTATTCACAAAAAATAATTGTGGGTAGGAAAAACCAGAAAGATCTCTTTCATAATGATTCAGAAAATAAGAGACAGCAATGTGTATTTACAGATAATTCAAAGCAAAATGGTGATTTGAAAGAGAATACTATAATTAATGGTGATAATGGGAAAGAACAGTATGTTTCAGATGCAAAATATACAGCCTTTAATAATGACAGTTGTCTGCATGATGAAGTGTTATGTGATGTTAGAGAGACAAAAAGTCCAAACAACAGCTTAACACCTTTCAAGAGAGCATGGCAGGAACTTCATGATCCTTTATTGCCTGTCATTGGCCATGCATTAATAACATTGAAAAACCTCATTCTTAGTAAAGACTCTGAGACATTGGAAAGTAAAGAAAAACTTCTTGGACAGTTCCAGGTACACTTTTGCTTTAGTTCTACATGTATAACATTAAGATCTCATCACTATTATTATTATTCACTCATTTTGTTTTTTGTTTTTTTAATGTGTTAAATTTAAACACAAATAGAGATTCTGTTCATTTTAATTATGATCATTTCAATAAATTTAATCGCCATTTCAAGATTATGGTGTTTGGCAGCCTGATCTTCTCAAGGATGGAAATAAATATTTCATTTTATTTACGTTATGAAGAAACAATTGTTAGAATATTTATTTCTGTTAGAGCAATCTAAGATTGTAAATATATTACATGACAATATTTTATGCTTTGTTATGGATTTTTTAAAAATATGATAGCATAGACTATTCTAAAAAAAAAAAGAGTAAAAAAATGTTTGAAATTTATCAAAATCAAGGTCAACACTTCATTATTAAACTATATTCTCCAAAGCTAAGACACTCTAGTAATTTGTTTTGAAACAAACCTTACATATTGGTATTTGATTTTGTTATGTGATTAATACTTGTTAAAATATGCTAACAAATTTTTCTGAATACTGTCTTAAAGTAGATTATTTGCCATTAAGATTTCAACTTGCTGAGCTTATTACTTAAGAAGCAACATTTCTTGAACTTAAAAGTTTGAGATTATCATATGTACTTTATGTAAAATATAGTTGAAAATTTTTCTATTTTCTCATTTTAATACAAACAACTGATCAAACCAAATCCAGGGATGTAAAATTCCACTAGGTCTACCACATTTTGAGTTTGGACTTCCATAAATTGTGTACATACTAGCCTGGAGCTAGTGTGTTTTTGATGTCATGAAATGTATGCATGTTTGTAAAATACAGCTCTGTACTTAATTATTCAAATTTACAGAAAATCTACCTGTTGTAATTTTTTCTTTCAGATCATCAAATACCTACTAACACTGTAAGTTTTGTGTGATTGTTAGTGTGTTTATTGATGACTAGCATAAAATCCCCACATTATGCTGCAAGATTCAAAGTCCTCTTCTCTCATGATTCGCACAGGCTCCAGTGTACCAGTGAAGCTCCTTCATTATCCCCAATTACTTCTGCAGCTACCCCCAAAGAGGTCCATATCCCTTCTGAATGCATTTAGTTCCCCTTGGTTGGGGGCTATGCCATATAAATAAGAACATCCTCTGGGTACACAAAGTCTGTCTGCCACACTTGGTTGTGCTAACTCCAAAACAAAACTGTTGGAGAAGATCACAGACAAACAAATAAACACACAACATGAATTATTATAGGATAGGCTAGTTGATAAGAAAAACATGTACATAACTCAATTACTGACTTGTACATCCAGTTATTTAATTTTGTATTTATAAAAAATTTTAATCTACAAGATTATTTTTTTCTAGAATTAGAATAGTTCTTTTTAATGGAAATTTTTTAATGCTCAAAGTGAAACAGTTGTGATTGGGCAAAATGACTTGGACTGCCCGCTCTGCAGATTTTTTCTTGGTACAGTAGGAAAATGCATGGTGTTCTGAATATTAAACTATTGTGTGGTTGTTATGGTTATGCCTTATATGTGGACTGAATAATCTGTCCAGAGATTTTTAGGTTTTTATATATATATTCTGAATGAAATCATATCATTTTCAATACATCAGGAATACTGTTCTATCATATACGTAGACTGATTAACTTACCCATAGATTTTACATCTGCATCACATATGCTGTGGAAGAAGGCATTGCAATGAATATATATATTCATATATATATATTTGCAATATGTAATAATTTAGTCATTAAATAGAAAAAAATTGTAGAGCTAGCAGAATTCTATTTGGGGCGAATACATTTCTCATGCCTCCTACATTAAAAAATGTTTCATACCCTGTAAATCATGATAGAAAGCTTGATATTGTAGATTAGAATGTCTTATTATTCTCAGTGCAAGTTTAATCAAAAATAGCAATAAAAGAAAACCTAACCAAGATTATTTTCTGTTTTTATCTTTTTGGTTTCCTTATGTCTTATCTGTCTTAATTATATGATATAATACACAAAAAAGTAAATATGATAATATATTTTCATTGCATTATAGGAACATCTAAGAAATGGAGACACCTTTATCTATTTATCTGCAGTACAAGGTCTTGCTGCTTTGGTGATTCATGACACAGATAACATCCTTCCACTTCTCACTAGAGAGTTCTTGAGCAGCATCAATACATGTACTCATCCAGTTCATACCACAGTTGTTTTGGGTGAAGTTTTAACAAATGTGTGCAGAAACCTGGGTAACTAAAGTGATCATATTTTTTATTCATAGTGGTGCTGATTTTATAATATATATTTGCTGTCCTCTTTATAATTTACACTTCACACAAATTTTATGAAAAAATCTTTTATTTTCTTTTTAAAAACTGCGACAACAGCATAATAGCATTATTCACTGAACTATTATTTCTTCATATATGTATATATATAAAATATGGTACAGTACAATAACTAGCTAAGTGTTTCCTTTTCTACTTGAAAAAAATCTTCCAGCCCTTGTTAGTGGAAGCTTCACAGTGACACAATATCCAGCAGTATCTTTATTCAAGGGCACGTCTTCCCACAGCTACATATGTTATAAATGGATTTACCCTTGTCTACTTTGGTGTTTCCTAAAGAGATTTTGTGTGCTTGCTTCATTTCTTTCAGTAAAGATAATTGTTAGCTAGATTTTACTGCTGTTACAGAACCTGGATGTGTTAAAGTGAAGGTTGGTTTAGATACTTTACTTGGCAACAGAGAATTTAGCTCAGCTGTCATGTAAGAGGTATCAAAATTTACATTTGGAGTAACTGTCTGTTTGTTGAACAAAGAGCTGATATAAGAATATGGTTGTTGACTTTGTCATGATATAAAAGACAGTTTTGTTCAGATAGTATTGATTAATTTAGTTTTGTGAGTGAATGTTTTATTATTGTTTAGTTTTTGTTATAATTAGAGTTAAAAGCAGATGATTGTAGGAAATTTTGTTAATAATTCATTGATGTTGAGAATATCGAACATCACATGCAATATATTGATGTCAAGAATATAGAAGGTGGACAGATGATTAGGTAATATAGATATAAATAGCATGAGATGAGCAGGAAGCAGCAGACAGATAATAGTAAAAGATAATAAAGTTGGTGTGAAGTTAACTACCATAGAAGTGATAGGCCTAACGTTTAATATGTTAGTGAAACTAACAGTAGAAAAGAAGATAAGAAAAATAAATATATTTCATCAAAGCATGGTTCTAAAGTAATTGAATCAGCTTGAGTGCACTTTTACAACAGGAACAGAGGATCTTCCAAAGAAAGAAGACCAAATAAGAATACTAGTGTGATAGAAAAGATAATTTGGCTTGTCAACTGAAATTCTAAAGTAATTGAATAGGCCTAAGTAGATATTTGACAAGAAGTAGAGAACTACATATATAGAATTGTTACGACAGCAGAAGTCACGTGATGCTGGGAGCATGCACGCTGGAGTTTCTAGAATTATCGAGGAACCTCGCGAATGTCCCAGTGTTTGCTAGATGCCCTCTTTTTTAGTATATAATCTTGGCAAAGAAAGCCAGTGCCATAGGCAGATAGATTGCAGAGATAGATAGATAGATAATTGAGTCAAGTGAACAGTAGGCACCATAAGTAAAGTGTGTGAAGCACTGTGATTTATTGCGTGTGTTATAAAAGTTTTTAAG